GGGGGGGGGTTATCGGAATAACAACTGAAAGAACCAATAACCAATTGTCTAATTTACTCCAATATCATTACTTGAAACTAACTTTTTGATACACTAACTAGACAAAATGAATCCATAATCTATTTATGGTGCATAGATAAAAATTTCTACCGCCCAGATAAGGACAATAAAAAGTTTCTAACCACTGGGAAAAGACTTTGCTAGTATCAGAGTCAACTAAAAGATCTAGGTCTTACAACAGATCAAACAGTTAAACACAAATCAAGTTTGTCATTTATTTTCCCGTAAAACTCATCATGTAAAAACATTCAAGTGGTAACACCTATTCACTGACTGCATAAATGGAAAAATCGGCGAACAAGTTTGTAACAAAAGCAGGGCATTTAGTTAAAGTAGTTACCGGCAAACCAAGCCAGATAATGCAGTAGTGCAAACCAATCAAGTTCAGCAGCACATTGTGCTTGGATTTAAGGAAGAATGTTTGAACATCTTCAAATCCAAACTGCATTGAATCCAGTTCTCTAACTGCTTTTAGATAATGCCCAACCTCAATGGACTCAAACGCCAAACAGCGGTCAACAAACTCGATCAAACCTGCTGCTTTTCCTGCTACTTCATTGTGCTTCCTTATATAAAAAACTCTCCATTCCTGCAGTTTTAAGTAGAAAAGTAAAGAGTTCCATTTTTGCATTAAGTTATAAAAAGGGTCGATGAGCAACTTTGTCTTCCATGAGACTTTTAGTCTAATATTACCTCACCATTAGAAAAATGTCTCATTTTTGCCCTTTACCCCTAACGGAGCTCCAACGAAGGGTAACTTTAATATATAGTCAAACATTGAGGGGTAAATTTCGACTTGTTTTCTCGAAAAATTAGGACACATGGAGTCCACCCATTTTGCGCTAGAGATTCACTAACGGCAAGGGCAAATAGGAGACGATTTGCTAACGGCAAAGCTACGAATCGGAGGGCAAAAATGAGCAATTTCAAATAGTACAATCAGGCAAATTTGGACCTTTTCCCTATCAACAAAAAAAAACATAACTTCTTGTTTTGGATAAGAAAAAAAAGTACGAATCTTTTTTGCAAAGGGTTTTCCATTCATGCTAATTCCAACATTATATACATAGGAAAACATAAAGCATCACAGCACAAAGGATTCAGCAAACACAATCAGCATTTAACAGAACTTCAAGAACTCATTACAACAACAATAACAACAAACCCAGTGAAATCCCACACGTGCAGTTTGGGGAGGGTAATGTGTACGCAGACCTTACTCCTACCTTATGAAGGTAGAGAGGTTGTTCCGATAGAACTTCAAGAACTCATTGCAAGCCAATAAATATACTATGCATATGCATTTATATTCCAATCTTCTTAAAGCAGAGAAAGAGATTTCACTTCAGTATTAACCTCATGAGTCTGGTTGTCATAAGATGAAGATTCCTCAATCTCCAGAGAAAGAGCAGGCCATCTTTCTCTACAAAGAGACTCCCATATATAATCAGAACCACATAACTCCCACCAAAACTGAGAGCAACTCCCCAACGAGCAAAGATCAGCTACCTTCAAAATTACAGTTCAAAAAAGAAAAAAATACCCATAATCAAGACCAAAATTTTCCACAATACAGAAACCAGAAAGCCAATAAATTCAACCCCTTTCAAGAAAAAATAGCAAATTAGAAAGACAAAAAAAAAAAATGAAGTGGCGGGGATGGGAGGGGAGGAGCCAGAATCAAGAAAACAAATTGTAGCCATTAAATTCAATTCCTTTCAAAGCAAAAGGGCATAACTTTTTTTTTTATCAACACAGAAATCAAAAACCAATAAATTCAACTCCTTTCAAGCATAATCTCAATTTAAAAAAAGCAATTCTAAAGAGAGAGAAAAAAGAACCTAGAATCAAGAAAAAAAATTCTCTGACAACCCACAGTGGATAAAGTCAAAATCTTTCAAGGAGAAAAAAGGTAACCTGAAGGGAAGAAGCAATTTTGAGGGCAATATCATGGGGAAGTGATGCTTGTATAGACATAGATGATGTGTTCATTTTCAAGCTCAGTAATTTTCAGTTCAGCTACGAAACTCAAGAAAATAGAAGAAAATGCGTGTCCGTTTGGAAAAAGAGATGATGTTTGCCGTCATGCTACGTAACATAGGCACGTGCCATCAATTCCCAAAGGTCAAAGGGTAGAAACACTGGATTTTCGTGAGTTTTTGCTGGAGTTTATTTAATAAATAAGCAGTTACATGTTTGGATAAAAGTGCTGAAACTTAAAAAAAGCTGTTGAAGTATTTGTCAAACAAGTGCTGGTAAGCACTTTTTCCTATTAAAAAGACAAAAATATCCTTAAAGTTGTTAACATTATAAAGGAGCTGATTTTACTTCAATATATTCAATTATGAATTAATGCAAATAAAAAATAATTTATATTTTAATTTAATTGATTACTTTAGATAATTTTTATAAATATAATTATTGAATGCTCATTTTTCACCACTTTCAATCAAGAAAACTTCCATAAAAGTCTCTTTCATTTTTCCTTAATTGATTACTTTAGATAATTATTGTCGGTTATTTTTCTTGCGGAACATATTCATAGTGAAACTGTAAATTTCACTCCCAGCTAGAACATTAGGAATTTGTTCCAACGTGCCAATACACTTCTCGATGGATGTCTCATCAACTGCAAGAGGTGTAGCAGTGCTTTTGCTAGACATAAACTCTATGAGAGAGTGTAATCCTCTTTTATTAATGTTGGAGCTGTTTTTTTCTTACTCTTTCTTACTTGACTGCTAGTACTAAGTTGATTTTTGTCTTTTTAGTGATGGCTCTGGAAACATAACAGAATTTATATTTTGTAGATCATCACTTTTATCGCTCATTTCATCATTTAGAAAAGTAAAGTGTTCTTCGTCACTACCATCAATATCATTTATTCCATCTTCGTCAAGATTTAGTCCAATGCCGGACGATTGTTCTTGATTTGCTGCACGTGCTCTTTCTCCTGTGGCAACAACATCAGCAAATAGTGCGTCGTAGCGAAATCATATGAGCGAAAGATCTTTATTCCTAAATTTTTTATATCGAGCATTCTCCTGTAAATAAATTCAAAGCCACTTTAAGCTAAAAAAGAAATTTAGCAATGAAAAAGAAAAAGAACGACACATGTAGCAATATGAGAGATGTACCTTAATTTTTCGCTCTCACCAATCATCATCTGCTATAATTGTATTTTTTGTGGCATATCATCCTAAACCTGTCTCTCATCTCATCAACTGCTTAAAAAGTGTCCATTCGTCTTTCATGTAATCCCAATGATTTTTCAATTGTTTTTTAGTATACACTTTTCCCGTCTTCTTTTCGAACTCATTACTTATATTTTTCCACGCATCTTTAGATAAGTAAGTGTTTGGTCTATTTCTCTTTCTAATCTCTTGCTCACACAACTCAATAAATATACTATGAACCTCATTATCCCATTTAGCGTTACTTTCCGTCATGATAGAATGTAAATAATCTGAAGAGGAAGTATAATGCAGTCACCAATAGCAGATATTGAAGTTAAAAAAAAGTCACCAATTGAAAAAGCTTTAGTAAAGAACAACTTAGAGAAATTGCATTTTAAACTTGACATATAAAAAAGTTGAGTTGGTAGTAATCTCATTTCTTCCTAAAGGCTACAACTAGTTGAGTTGGTTGCTTTCTGCATAATGAGTAGCAATTAACAAACATATATATATATA